GATACAGAACAGTCCATCATTCCAGAAACTTCCCTTGTGTTCCTTTCCAGTCATCTGCAACACCCAGAGTCAAGCGCTGTTCTGTTCTGTTTTTCTACTGTAGGTTACAGATTTGGAACTTTATACAAATAGAATCCTAAGTGTGTCTTAGGGGCAAGAGGGTGGCTAAGTGGTACAGCTCTTGGTTAGCACGTGAGGGGACCTGGATTCCATTGCCAGTACCACAAAATACTGTCCTGTTCTTTCACTAATGAGGCTGGTCTTGAATGTGAACAGTTTCTTTGTCCAAGTATTTTTCCTGATGTCCCAGACCAGTTTCCTGATGGTGTCCTTATAGAAACAATTTTAAAATAAAGATGGAGCTGGGCACTGGTGGCTCACTCCTGAATCCCAGCTACCTGGGAGGCTGAAATCAGGAGGATCAAAGTTTGAGGTCAGCCTGGGCAAACAGATTGTAAGACCCCATCTCCAAAATAACCAGGGCAAAATGGACTGGAGGGGTGGCTCAAGTGGTAGAGCACCTGCTTTGCAAGTGGGAAGCCCTGAGTTCAAATCCTGGTCTTTCCCCCTCCCCCCAAACAACATGGAGGCAGGTGGAACCAATGGCTCCCTTGGATCTGCATGCTTTCCGCAGCGGTGTCTGCAGCAGGATCCAGACACAAGGCAGTTAAACTGATTTTGCATGGAGGATGCGCTAATCTGGTTTCCCTGGCAACGAGACAGGGCTGAGGAGAGAAGCAGAAAGATGGGAGGGGATGTTGACTCCCATGGCTCAGTTATGGCTCACTGGAGCAAACCACACCCCAATCCTTTCTCTATTCAGGGGCCCCCAGGACCATTTCGCTCTGTTCCCTATTGTAGTGGGTCTCTAACCGAGGTCTCAGGACTTCTTCCATGATTTAACATTTGTAAAGAGGAAGAACTCAGAGATATTTAATCAGCACAAGATATGTCTGATTTGCAAAGTCAAGTACCAGTTAGAGATTCTCTGCAAATATTTAAAAAAATTTTTGCTGGAGGAGTGGCTCAAGCGGTAAGATTGCCTGCTTAGCAAGTGTGAGGCCCTGAGTTCAAACCCCAGTACCGCAAAAAAAAGAAAAGATTAAACTTTTGTGCTCAAATTTGACCCCGTTAAAATGGTATCTTAACAAATGGTGCCTTGAGGGCTGAGGATGTAGCTCAGTGGCAGAGCACTTGCTTGGCACACTCACACTCACACTCACACTCACACAATGGTGTCGTTAGCTACCGAAGGCTGGGGAGAGAATGAGAGTAAAAAAAGCAAATTAATGATTGAGGCTTATCATGAAAATGGGTTTGGTCTGCTGGACACCTGAAATGGCTTTGTGGCCCCTGGGCTACCTGAGCGATGCTTTAAGAACCCCGGATACCATTGCTTAGCAAACATGGCCCCCCACCCAACACAGGATTCAGGGAGAATTTGGGAAAACATTTCAGATGTCCCTTTCTCACAGATGTTTTCATGGAAGCATCAGAGGCGCTGGTTACAGCAGTCAGTCTCGAGCCCCATGTCGGTCCATTTAGGAAAGGGCTAAGCAGAACATGGGTCCCACTGCCCTGCCTGGCTGGCCCCCATCTGATCTTCTGCCACAGAGAAGGATTCATCTATCTGTATCCTGTGCCCGAAGCTTCTGCAACCCACAGGGACCTCAGTTTCTTGGGGGTCACACCTGTCCTTCCAGAAGTTTCTGAGTATTTAATTCTCTGCTTGACTTCTGAGACCATGACGTCCTCACCCAACTCTGATCCTCCAACCCCAACCCACAAGGAGAGAATAGGAGATGTGTCTGGGGGCAGAGCAGCTAGAAACACCAGCTTTTCATCAATAAATATGGACCAAAGAGAAGAAAAGAAGCCAGAATAATATTCTAGGCTGGGGGTGGGGGAGGGCTAGCACAAAAGCTGCCATAGTCAGTGATGATTTCAACTGCTTTTCAACAGAGGCCTAGCCATGGTGGTACACACCTGTAATTCCAGCTACTCAGGAGGCAGAAGTAGGAGGATCTCAGTCTAGGTCTGAGGCCAGCCCAGGACAAAAGAGACAGAGAGAGAAAGAGAGAGAGAGAGAGAGAGAGAGAGAGAGAGAGAGAGAGAGAGAGAGAGAGAAAGAAAGAGAGAGAAGTGATCCTATCTGAAAAATAAGTAAAGCAAAAAGGGCTGGGGATAATTTAAGAGGTACAGCACACTGGGTGCCGGAGTGTCACACCTGTAATCCCAGCTATTCAGGAGGCAGAGATCAGGAGGATCATGGTTCGAAGCCAGTCTCAGTTCCTGAGATTGTATCTTGAAAAATCCCTTGGCAAAAAAGGGCTGGTAGAGTGGCTCAAGGTGAAGGCCCTGAGTTCAAGCCCCAGTACCACAATAAATAAAGTGTGCAATTCACCACCAGATCTTGAATTCATTGCCAGAGTGGGAGTACACAGGGAGATCTTCTCTCAAGACACAGGCAAGGGCAGGCACTATGGCGCACGCCTACAGTCCTAGCTACTTGGGAGGTTGAGATCAGGAGGATTGTAACTGGAGGCCAGCTGTGGCAAATAGTGCAGGAGACCCTATCTCCAAAATAACCAGAGCAAAATGGACTGCAGGTGTGGCTCAAGTGGTAGAGCTCCTGCTTTGCAAGTATGAAGTCCTGAGTTCAAATCCCAGTTCCACTAAAAAGAGAGGAGAGGGAGAGAGAGAGAGAGGAAAGTGACAGCTTCCTCTGTCTCATCTTCCAATTGTGGTTCTAGTCATTCAGGGTTATAGAAATGACACTAATGGGGACATGTTCACACACACATTCCCCTAAGGAATTCCTCAGGATTAATTCCAGGTGGCCACGTGGGGCTGCCTCGAAACCAGGCTATTCCTGAGACCAGAGAAATGGTACTGATAAACACCTCAATTCTTGCGTCTGGCAGAAGAATTCAAACAAGACACAGAGATGACAACAAAAGTCACAGGAATACACTGTCAGCAGACTGAAAGTGGGTGGCTTCTAGAGTGAGACCGACAAGTCAGGATTTAAATATTAAAATATTTATTATTCTTATTATTACTACTTTTGCAGTACTGGGGTTTGAACTCAGGGCCTACACCTTGTGCCACTCCACCAGCCCTTTTTTTGTGATGAGTTTTTTGAGATAGGATCTCTTGAACCTATTAGCCTGAGCTGGCTTTGAACCATTGATCCTCCCAGTCTCTGCCTCCTGAGTAGCTCGCATTACAGGTAAGCCACCAGTGCTGGTGAAAGCTAGAATGTTTATTGAAGAAGTTTTAGCCTGGGTCCTTTTGGCCCCTGGGATGATTTCCTGGGTTTGGGTCATTGTCTTGCTAAATGAGCAAGATAACCTGCTCTAGTTGATAGTTTTTGTTTGAAATTCCTAACCTGCGCTCTGTCAGATGTCAGACCTGGGTCTTTGTTTTGTTAAATTTACCTGTGTAAACGCCCAGCGCCAGGCCCAGCTGATGTTTAAAATGTGGATTACTCTGGAGTAAACAGAGGATTAAGCTTTTAGGTGAGTGGCGATTTTGAAGCATCTGTGACAGCCCCTGGGCTCTGGCTACTTGATCTGAGAGACTAGTGAGCTGTTGAATTATAAGGCTCTTTCTTTTCTTCCTCTTGGGGCCACCAATTTATGTCTAACTGCTACCTGTCACTCCTCACTGATTGTTTTGTGCCTATGACACTTGGTATGTTTCAGGGTAAATGAAATCTAGCTGTAAAATTTACTTTACCTACTTTTTTTTTTTCTCCAAATCAATCAGTGGTGCAGGTGGAGTGGCTCAAGTGGTAGAGCACCTGCCTAGCAAATGTGAGGCCCTGATTCAAACCCCAGCACTGCCCAGAAATAAAAACCCAAAACCAAAAAAGTTAAATAAATAAAAAACCCCAAAACATCAACCTCAAAAGAAACAAACAAAAAAACAGAATAAACTAATCAATGGTGACCCCTCGACGACTTAATGTCGTGTGTAAAGTTCACATTTGGGGTAACTTTTCATTTCTGTTGAATGCCACTGCTCTTGAGAGAAAAGAAGCATCCATTTTAGCATCAGAAAGGTGAAAAGGGAGAAGGGAAAAAAAAGCAAGGAAAATAAGAGATGGAGGTAAGCCTTGGTTTGTGCACGGCCGAGTTGCCATGGTAACCTTGCAATCAACTCTCTTCCTACTTAAAGACAATCAAAACAAAAAAAATTTCTCTGTGTGTGGGATGGTGGTGGGAGGACCCGGGGTATATTTGTTCATTTTATTTATTTATTCTTTAACAAATGCTTGTGTAAAGGTAAATTCTGCTCACGCCTGTAATCCTAGCTGCTCAGGAGGCAGAGATCAGGAGGATCGCTGTGTCCCAGGCCAGCCTGGGCAAAAACGAAGGCAAGTCCCTATCTCAGAAATACCCGAGACACACACACACACACACACACAGACACACACACACACAGACACACACACACACACACACACACACACACACACACAATCCCAAAAGGGCTGGTGGAGTGGCTCAAGTGGTAGAGAGCCTGCCTAGCAAGCTCGAGGCCCTGAGTTCAAACCTCAGTGCCACACACACAGAAAAAAAAAAAAAAAACAGGGTGAAGTCCAATGAGTGATGCCCACCGCCCATAGGTGAGGCCTGGGGGTCTCTGGTCCATCTTGAGAAGAGCCCACCATGAACGAAGCTCCCTCTGGCGCCCAGTGAGGCCAGGGCCCTTGGACTGAGGCCTGATCGCCAGAGCCTCTCCCGTCTCCTGGGAAGAGAATTAAAACCCTTCACCAAGCCTGTATGCTCTGGAAGGAGGACGGGTCTGGTCCCCTGTGGATTTGGCCCTGATGTTCAGTAAACGTGGAGCTTCCAGCCCCCGCATCTTCCTTCCCACTCCGCCCTTTTGGAGCAGCGCCATCCTGCAGCGTTGCCATGGAGACGGGGACCCGAGGGATGGGTGGGGGTTGTCTGCGCAGGCGCAGCCCGAGCCGCCGCGTCAGAGCTTCCAGATCCGGTGCGCGCTCAGACCCAGGAGCGCCGGGCTCCCATCCCCCACGCCCACCTGCTGCGCTGGTCGCTGTCCCCCTGCACCTGGCTGCGGTGTCCAGTCACTCGGGCTGTGTCAGGGACAAAGGAAGGGAGCAGCCTGGTCTGGCGGGAGAGCAGACACGTAAGGCCTTTGCAGATCCTCAAGACAGATCGTCGGGAGGGGACCGAGAGGGGGGAAGGTCGCTGTGTCCATCAGGCCAGTAGGCAGCCAGAGCCCCGAGCCTTGCTTCAGTCACTTGAACTTGACTTCTAACCAGGGGCTAGCCTTCTAGGGTGCTACTGGCACACTGCATGAGCTGCAGTCCCCCCCTGCCCGCAGATCGGCATCCCGTGGGCAGCAAAATGGCCGTTAGCCTTTTGCAGAATTGGTGCAGAGGGCTGGATGTGGACGAACACAGGGCCCTGCTGGTCACCGGAATCCCGGAGGACCTGGAACCGGTGGACATCGAAGCCATCCTGCAGCCGACCTTGCTGCCCCTGGGCCAGTTCAGGCTGCTGGCGGTGAGTGCCATGAGCCAGGAGAAGGCCAAGGCCGCCCTGGTGGACTTTGTGGAGGACGTGGATCTGGCGGCCATCCCTAGGGAGATCCCGGGCAAGGACGGGGTATGGAGGGTTCTGTGTGAGACCGGAGCACAGGACACACAGGTCCTGAAGCAGCCGAAGAACCTGCTGCTGGATGAAAGGCCCAGCCAGGCCTCTGGGGACACGGAAAGCCAGGCCCAGGGGCAAGGGCAGGAGGCCGGGAAGTCTGGCATCCCTGGTAAAGCTCCCCGGAGCCGTCGGGGGGGCAGGCGCAGAGCCAGAGGCCATAGGGTGACCCAAAAATGCAAAAAGAGGGGCCGGGGAGGGCAGTCTGTGATGAGCGAGTCTGGGGACTCTTCAGATGATGGCTTGGGTATCGTGATAGAGGAGATCCATGCAGAGGACTTGACCGTGGACGAGGACCAGAGGTCTCTGTATGCCACGCTCCAGGCTGCCGCCAAGGAGCTCATTAAGAAGTGGGCCACCCAGGAGAACCCGGATGAAGGGGACGGTCCCGAGAGTTCTTGGCCCTGGTCACCGTGACAGACAAAGCCAAGAAGGAGGGGCTGGAGAAAGAGCCCCTTGGAACTGAGTCCAATGGCCTCAACGCCAAAGAGGACAGGAGCGGTGTCCCCGACTTAGTGGCCTTAATGGCTGTGAGAGACACAGAGATGGAGGATCTCATTAAGGATGATACTTCTGGGAGTGCGTCACAGGAAAATGGGGACCGGGCAAAAGAAGGGGTGGACAATCCTGAGTTTGTGGCCATTGTGGCACATACAGAGCCCTCAGATCCCTGGGCCCGGGAGGAGATGTTGAAAATCGCTTCTGTGATTGAGTCGCTGGGTTGGGGTGACAAGAACCAAAAAAGTGACACCCTTCCCCAAGTCTTGTTGGTCATGTCCAAGGATACATCTGGAACCCGCGTGAAGGTGGAAGAGGCAGGCCGTCAGGTGGACGCTATGGTCCTGAGGAAGGCGGAGGAAGATGGGAACCTTCTAGAATGTATTTCGGCCTTGGCTGAGCCAGACAACCGTCACAAGGGGAAGAAGACTCCTCTCGGCCTCCCTCGGCGCTTGGGCAAGGACGGCAAGGTCAAGGGCAGCCTCCTGGAGCTGGTGGCGCTCCTGGCTGTACAGGACATGGTTGACTTGGTCAAGGAGGAAGAGGAGAACAGGTGCCCAGCGGCCAAGTGCAAACACCCCAAGAACAACGTGGAGGAAGTTCTGGCTTTCCTGGCTTCCCAAGAGAACCTGGAGTCCAGCGAGGAGTCAGAGTCAGATGACACCGACAGTGAGGAGTCGGAGCCCGAGGACAGCGCATCTGACAAGCCCCGGGCCAAGAGGGCGCGCAAGAGCTCCAAGGGCCTGACCCAAGCCTTGGTCCTCACCGCGGCCCCGATTAGCAGAACCGGCAGAGGCTGGGGTGTCACTCAGGAGAAGAAAGCCAGGAGCCGGTCTTCAACCAAGAATGATGCAGGAAGAAAGAAGAAGAATGGGCGCTCAGGCTGCAGGGCCAACACTGGGGCTGTCGAGGCCAGGGGACAGCCACCAGCTGGTCCCAAATCCTCCCGTGGGAAGAAGGCACGTCGGGGCCCGAAGCGGCCCCCCAAATGCTGCTAGAAGATGCACGGTTCCCCCTGCTAGCGGGTCCTGCCTTTGTGTGGACCCACTTCCCCCTTTTCTCTCTCTCCTCTCTGTGTCCCTCCCTCCAGCAGAAGCGTCCTTCTTGCTTAACTGTGTGCTGTGAGCTCCGCTACATCCCCGGCCCGTGTGTGACACCTTTCCCTCCCAGTCCCTCGTGGGGAGATGGCTCCAGTGATCCTGATGGCAGAAGCCGTGATTCAAGATGGAAAAAAAAGATGGACACCTCGAGTTGGCAGCCAGCGGAGATGAGACACCGGGGGCATTGACAGCTGGCGACTTGGGTGGCCCTGGTAACAACCGCGTGACTCTTGTCGGTGGACACTGGACCCTGTGCAGGCGAGCTAGGCCAGGGAGCTCTGTCTGGTTGTGGTGGGGCCCTGGTCATTCCAGGTGCAGGCTCTGGGAGCGGCTGGGAGCCCCTGTGGCCTCCGCCCCAATCTCACAGGACCTGGGGTTCGCAGAGATCAAAGGGTTAAGGTGCCTGTGGGGGAACTGGGACTCCAGAAGAGAGAGCCAAGAGGCAGAGGGAGGCTGGGAGGAGGAGGGTTGGGAGGAGGGGAGGTGGGACGAGGAAGGGGAGGAGGGAAACTGCTCACCAGCCCCACCTACCTGAGGCACCGCAGATGCAAATGAACCAGTTTAAGGCCAAGGCCACCTGTCCTGGTCCACAGGCCACTCGGACAGCCTTCAGTGTTTACCAGAACTTGTAATAATATGCCAATATGTTCTTTTTAGGGCAATTGGCATAAAATCCACATTTCTGGCTCCTCTGGCCTCCCCAGTTTAGGCCCTCTTCCTACAGGCCTGGGGCTCCCTTGGGTCATCTCACCAGTGGTCCTCACTGCCTCATGGGGCTGACCTGCCCCTCAGTTCTGCCCTTTCTGCCCAGACTTAAGATGAAGTCCTCCTCCCCCCCAGCTGAGGCCCCTGCAGCCCTTAAAGGAGCGGGGTGTCTCCTTGAAGGAAGTCATGGCTCTGCCCTTGGATCCTCCCCCAGTAAGCCTGGCCATGCTTCCTCTTTGTGTTTTGTGTTCAGGTGCACCGTGTGCCGAGGTCCTGCTACCCACCTCCATGATCTTCCTAAGTAGTGCTTTGCACTTGTGCCTTCCTCACCCTCTCGTCCCTGGGGTTGTGTGGGTGTTTCTTTGTTCTAGTGTCCATCTCCAGGAGTCCATGGTGCCAGGGGGGTTTGACCTGCCCTGTTCTCACAGCCCACACTAGACTGTCCAAGCCCTACTCTGGGGACACAGAGGTGAAGAAACTGCCGGGGCTATGGGTGCTTCTTTGTGCTCTGAGGCTGTCTCCCACCCTGCCATCTAGGGACAGTGACCAGTTCAGCAAGGAGCAAGCAGGCCAGGCTGGCCTGGGGCTCCTGGGTGCTGATCGACATGGGGATCTGATTCTGGGCCTGGGGGCTGCTGGAGATGCCTGTGGGTGGGGTGGGTTCCCTGTATCACTTCTCCCCTCAGCAGTTGGGGATTCCTGTCCTGTGTGTTGTGTCACTTCTAGTCCTCTAGTGAAGATGAATGAAACAATCCTCCTGACTGTGGCTGTCTGTACTGTGGGAGCGGGCCCCACCATCATGGCTGTCTTGCAGCTAGATCGTCCCTGTTCTAGCTTCTGTCCTTTGCTTCTTGGTGTCTGTGTCCTGTGTCAGGCCCTGAGTGCTGGCCACCAGCCCCCAAGCCTCAGCTGCAGCCTTGGACACCCATGGAGGCTCTGGAGACCCTCCAGTATGGCCCCTACCCTACCCAGCCTCAGCTCTAGTTTCTGGAAGATTCACCCTGCCATGCTGGGCCCCAGCTGCTTCCCTTCCCCAGCCTCCTCCCGTACTTCTTGCCTCCTGCTCTTCCCCGTCCAAGTGTGTCCCTGTCCTCAGCCCAGTGTTGGGTCATTTAACCCCACTACATTCTCTGCCCTGGATGCCAGACTGAAGGTCTGTAATTAAAATTAAATTAAATATCCATTCCCTTAGCTGCAGCAACCATATTATAAGAGTCACATGTGGCTAGAGGCTGTCTTCACAGAAAACTCTCTCTGGTCTACAAACCCAGTCTCCATCTCATTTGTCTGCCCCATTTCCCAGTCCTCACTGGGCTTCAGCCTCCCAACAACCAGGTCTCAGAGGACACCAGCATATTCCTGTTCCAGGACCTTTGCCCAGGACCCTGCTGCCTGGAGTGCTGCTGCACTCAGGATACTCCCAGGGCTCCATCCTACACTCAAAGCAGCCTTTCTCCAAATGCCACATTCCCCCGGAGGCTCCCCGACCACCCTATTAAAGCTGTAGCCCCTCCCACATACCTCCCTTTATTTTAGCGCTCTCACCACTCCAGACCCACCTGGCTCTCGACAGCTCACTGATGGTGTTTGTCAGGGGTTGTAATAGAAGTTGGTGACAAGGATAATGCAGTCAAGAAGTGTGTCCCCTTCTTCTGTTCCAACCCCAGTGCCCCATCAACAAAGGACCCTGGCGGTGGAGGGGTCCTCCAGGGCACTGGGCAGGTGGGCATGGAGGGGAGGGGCAGCAGAGCGCTGAGGTTCAGGTCCCCAGTGGGAGTGGGGTCTGTCCTGTGCCTGCTGTGTCCCCAGCCTCAACACCACACCTAATGTGCAGAAGCTGTTGGCTGACATTTGTGGAATGACTGCATGATGGAATGAACCTGGCAGGTGGGGTGAGCCAGGCCCCAGATACACCTGGTGAGGATGACATGAGCCCAGGAGGGATGGGGCCTGAGGGGGCAGGGGTGAGTTTTGCAATAAGCATGAATAGTGGCTTCTGGGTGGCCTGGGAGTATTCCACGGGGGAGTGACAGTGACAAGGCCTGAAGGTGGCCAAAGGCTATGGCAGGGGATGCTCAAGGGAAGCCCCAAGGCAGGGATGTGACTATTGGGGTGCCAGGCATAAGTGCTGGGCATAGGGGAGACAAGTGTCTCCAACACAGGCCACCTGGCCCCTGAGGGGGTCTCTGTCTGCAGCCTTGGGATGAACGAGCTGATATTCATGAATGTAGTGGCACCCATCTATAATCCCAGCACTCAGGAGGTTGAAGCAGGAGGATCGCCAACCCCAGGCCAGCCTGTCTCAAAAAAAAAAAAATAAGACAAGAAATAAAGAAAACAAGTGAGGGCTGAGTGGAGGGTGGGGTTTGCAGTCTTGAAGTCCAAGGTCAAGCACTGGGGAGCCACAGCAAGGGTTTCAAGCAAAGGAGAAAGAGGTTTGTGCTTTCAGCTTTCACAGAGGGCAAGGCTGGAGCAGGAGGAGGAGTGACCCTTGGGGAAGAAGACCCCAGGCTGGACAGGGAGGGACAGGAAGTGAGTGGGTGGATTTGTAAGGAAGTCCATTTGGCATGTTAGAAATGAATTTGGGGTGTCATGAGAGACACAACACAACTCAGATGTCAATAGGCAAGACAAAATTGACTTCTGCAGAAGGGTGTGCCACAGACAAAGACTCTGGTTAGCAAGCACACTGGGTGGGAAGTCCGCTCAGGTTCTATCTCTAACGCAAGTCTGCCCCTCACCCTGATTGAACAGGGTTTCGGGTTCACAATCTTCACGATTGGCTAATTTGAAAAGGGGGCACATGGGGGACAGGGAGAGCAAAGATTTACTTGAATAATACTTGCCACAAGCAACCAGTTTTTAAAACTAGGGCACCTGCCGATAACAGCAGCTTGCTCAGCTATGAAGAACAGCCTTTTGTTTAAAACAGGAATTTACAGGGATAAGTGACATCTCACAAGGCATGTAGGCAACAGTTTGGGGAAGTTAGACTGACATCTGTACAGAAAAGACCTGACTTTAGTTGATTCTCACAACAGACAAGTTGACTGATGGGCTGTGTATATATGATCCTGTTGGTCCATGTTTCGTTGCTGTGACAAAATACCCGAGAAAAGAAAAAAGGATTGGGAAGGTTTATTTTGGATGCAGGCTGCAATCTGTGGGTGAGGCAGAGCATCATGGCGGCAGAGGATGAGGTGGAGCAAACCTGCTCACCCATGGCAGCCTGCAAGCAGAGAGAGACAAAATGGGGTGGCGGCGGGGGAGGGGACAACATGCTGTCTCCCAAGCCCTGCCCCCTTCACAGCCCATCCAGCCTTTCATGAGCTGATGACCCGTGAATAACACCAGCCTTGAAATCATGAGTCTTTCAGATACTACACTTGACCTTAGCCAAAAGGCCGAGAAGCGATCATCATGAGTCTTTCAGGATCATTTCATACGCACACCATAGTGTGTTCACTCATGCCTCCTGAATCTGTGTCCGTGCCTCTGTACACATCTGGGGTGAACAGATTTGGGGGTTTATGACTGTTATCAAACCAGGCCTGTCTCGACAACAGGAATTATGCTGATGGCTGAATCACTGAATTTGGTAGAAGAGAAAGGGTTATTCATGAGGCAGAAGAGTTGTGAAAATGGAAGAAAAAGTCTTAAATCTGCCTCCCCCCCACCAACAGGGTTTTTGAATATTTATTGGATAAAGAATCAGGGTTGCTATGTATGGTAGTGCAGACCTGTAATCCCAGCTACTTGGGAGGCAGAGATGCAGAGGATCGAGGTTTGAGGCCAACCTGGGTAAAAAGTTAGCAAGACCCCATCTCAATAAGAAAAGCTGAGCGTTGTGGTGCATGCCTGTGAATCCCAGCTATGCTGGAGACCATTAAGTAGGAGGACTGAAGTCCAGGCCAGACTGGGGAGGAAAAAAAAGACAAGACCTAATCTCAAAAAATAACCTGAACAAAAAAGGCTGGCAGAGTGCCACAAATGGCAGAGCCCCTGAGCAGCAAGTGCAAGGCCCTGCGTTCAAACCCCAGTTCTGTAAAAAAAAGCGGGGTGGTCTTGGACACGGGGTGAAAATCTTCCCTGTGTAATACAAAGTCACTCGAGTGAGGTAACCGAGGAGACCGTTATCACCACACTCACATGGCAGAAGTCTTGCCCACTGTCAAGCTCAGCTGCCTGACCTCCATAAGGGGATTTTATTTATTTGTTTATTTTCTGCTGGGGTCTCTCTATGTTTCCCAGGCTGGTCTCAAACTCCTGGGCTCAAGCAATCCTCCTGCCTTGGCCTCCTGAATAGCTGGAACTACAGGCAAGTGCCACAATATGCACTACAATGTGACTTTTAAAAGCAAGCAAGTAATTGCAAGTGAAGCTGGGGGTTTCTTCAGGTTCTCCCTCTTTTTTTTTTGGCTCTGTGGAGAGGAGAGGAGTTTTGGAGGGGTAAAGAATGAAGGCAGGTTTCACTCCCCATTTCTCAGATATGTAACTGAGGCAACAGACGTGGTGGTGCATACCTGTAATCCCAGCACCGTGAGGCTGAGGTAGGAAGATCACAAGTTAGAGGCCAGCCTGGGCTACATAGCAAGACTGTCTCGCAACACTAAAAAAGATAGAAAAAGAAAAACTGAGGCAGGGAAGGGCGCTTAAGCATGAGTTTGTCCTTCTCCGTATAACCAGGCCTCTGGGTCTGGGGAGAACCATTGTCAACCCTGGCACAGGAGGCCAAGGTCCCCAACGGTCCAGACCCTCCCTCCCTCAGAGGCTCAAGTGTGTTGAGGGGATCCCTGGACTCCCAGGAGTGTGACTCCAAATTCTAGAACTGCTGGAGTGGCAGCAGAGGACACCTGGCCTGCCCCACTGCATCCCACTACCCCAGAGCCAGCAAAGCCTGCAGGACCTGCAGTGCCTGCGGTGACCACCAGGAGGAGACTGCTTCCTGAGGGTGGGGTGTCAGCACCCTAAAACCCAAAGCAATGCCTGTCCTCTGCACGCCCAGGCTGCCTTTGGGAGCTGCCCCTGCAGGCCAGTTTAGCCTTGGGTTAACACAGAACACTCTGGCCTGGTGGAGTGGCTCAAGTGGTAGAGCGCCTGCTTAGCAAATGTGAGGCCCTGAGTTCAAACCTCAGTTCTGCCAAAAAAAAAAAAAAAAGAGGAACACATAACACTCTGACCCAACAGCTCCTCCCACCTCTGGGGCCTCTCTGGAAGGTCAAGGGATGGGAGGGAAGAGAAGATGAGACTCAGTGAGGGACAGATTTGGCCAAGGCTACTGGGAGAGGCGTAAAAATAAGCCCCAGAAAGAGAGCAAGTATTTGCGATCAACTTCTGGGGTTTTGTGTGGCTGGTTGCATGTGCCCACAGGGCCTTGGTGACCCAATTACTTCCTAAGTACAGACCTGTAGTGCACAGCTGTAACCTCAGCCACTCCAGAGGTGAGGCAGAGATGGGAGAATCTCTAGTTAGAGACCAGCCAGGGTAAAGTAGCCAGACCTGTCTCAAAAACAAAATACAAACAAAAGGGCGGGGGTGTGGCTCAAGGCATAGAGCACTTGGCTATCATGCATCAGGCTCTGAGTTCAATCCCCAGTGCCACACACTACTCCATATCCCCTCTTAACCTGTTCCTGTCACAGGAACTCTTTAATGCATCCTCCTGGCCAAGTCACTCCAGTGTTTGTGGTGTTTGATCCAAATGGATTCAAGGGTCATATAACCGGAAAACCACATCTCCAAAACCAAGACCCCCTGTGTTTTGAATCAGTTTCCCAGATGACTTTTTCTGTAGCCATCACCAAGATCGGGGTCAAGTATGCAAACTGTAAGCTCTGTACCCTCCAGCCCACAGCGCTTATGGATGGCAGACAAAGTGACAACATAGACACAGAACCCAATCACCCAGAAACATGGTCAGTTGCTAAGTCGGAAGCCAAGAATTCACCTTGTAAACGTTTTTATTTGCATATCCGCTTGAGCTCTCTTTTCAAGTTCATGTCAGTGTGCAGGAAAGAACGGGATTTGGTCCCCTTGCTCGGCCCCTGTCCCGCTTTCAAGCTGCGCCCTTAAAATTTGGATCTGAGGAAGATGGAATTAGGGCAATACAACATTCCTGCACTGTTTCTTTCTTTGCATTCTTTGGGGAGTGCTATACACTGTCAGTATTTTAAAAAAACATCAATGCACAAAAGATAAAACACGACAAGAAACATTCATGAGCGGAGATGTGGGAGGTGCTGCCCACCCCTTGGCCCCCTCCATTATCTGCAGCCTGGGAGGACAGGTGGCTGGTGCTCCAGGTCCCCGGCCTCGCTCACAGTCGGTCTTCTTGCTCTGCCTGCTCTGCTTCTCTGGCCTCAGCCCTTAATACCCTGAGGCTCCTGGCCTCGTCTGCCCTGGGGATCTCTTGGGCAGGACCGGCAAGCGAGGAGTGTGCCAGAAGGCCCTCTGGCGCTTTCGGAACCATGAAAAGCGTCCAGGGGTCTGGAACCTCACTGTCTTGACCTGTTTCCGGGCCCTTGTTGAGGCTGCCCCTGGGGGCCCTGAGCCAGCAGTGGACTGGGCTTCCCGATTAGCCTGGGCTCCAGCTTCTGCCCCCTGCTCCCCTGTGGCCCTCGGGACACCTGGGACCTCTGCCCTTGGATTAGCTGTGGCCTCTGCCCCCTGGCCACCTGGGGCCTCTGCCCTCTGGACACCTGGGATCCTCTGGTCAGCTGTGGCCTCTGCCCTCTGGTCGCCTAGGGTCTCTATTCTCTGGTCACTTGGGACCTCTGCCCTATGGCCAGCTGGGGCCTCTGCCCTCTGGACACCTGGGGTCTCTGCTCTCTGATTAGCAGGGGCCTCTGCCCTTTGATTAGTTGTGGCCTCTGCCCTCTGGTCACCTAGGTTCTTTGCCCTCTGGACACCTGGGATCCTCTGGTTAGCTGTGGCCTCTGCTCTCAGATTAGCTGTGGCCTCTGCCCTCTGGTCATCTAGGGCCTCTGCCCTCTCATCACCTAGGGTCTCTACCTTCTGGTCAGTTGGGGCCTCTGCCCTCTGGTCACCTGGGGCCTCTGCTCTCTGATTAGCTATGGCCTCTGCCCTCTGGTTACCTAGTGCCTCTGCCCTCTGGTCACCTGGAGCCTCTGCCCTCTGATTAGCTGTGGCCTCTACCCTCTGGTCACCTTGGGCCTCTGCCCTCTCATTAGCAGGGGTCTCTGCTCTCTGGTCACCTGGGGCCTGTGCCCTGTGGACACCTGGGGACTCTGCCCCCTCAGTGGGGATGCCTATCACCTGAGCTGAGTGTGTTACTTCCTCCTTCCTGTGCCGTCGGAATGAGGCCCACTTGATTTTGGGCCTCCATGCTCTGGGTGAGGACTGGACCCTGCTCCCAGGGCCTGTGTTGGGTGCGATCCCCCCAGGGCTGGTGCCACTCCTCATGGAGGACGCCCCACCCCTCTCCATGGCTGCAGTGGTGGAGGCCTGGCGAGCCTCGTCCACCTCAGTGCCAGATCGGGGTCCCCAACCCCTCACCCTCCGTTTTAGCTTTCCCCAGGACACCTGGCTGACATACTCGCGCCACCTGTCGGCCTTGGACAGCTGGGGCCCCAGGTTGTCCTCGAACATGGGCACTGGCAGGTTGACACGACGGCGGGGAGGTGGCGCGCTGGGCTTCTTCTCACCGCGGCCGAGGAAGGCCTGGACCAGCTCCTCATCGTCCTCGCTGTCCAGGTCACTGCCCAGGAATTTGCTGCCCAGGTAACTGACGGGCATTTTGCGCACCTTTCTGCCTTGCCGGGGGCCTTTGTTGCGCCTGACTTTCGAGGTCCCAAAGTCACTCAACTCGCTGTCGCTGGCATTGCTGCTGTCGTAGGTGCCCACTACCAGCCGAGGCGGAGGAGTGACCATCTGCTGGACTCTCCTCCTCCCTCGGGGTTCTTTGGACTTTTTGGGGGGCTGGGGTGGATGCGGGGTGCTCTTCTCAATGATGCGGGCCACATCCTCCAGGGTGCGGCCCTCTTCCTCCAGAAACTGGGTCAGCCGTTCTCGGAATTCCGCTTCCTTGGTGGCGGGCTTGGAGATGACCCGCCACACCCCCCCGGCCAGCCTGACCTCCCGGGGGATGAGCAAATAGTCCACGTCCTCGCAGATCTGCAGCAAGCCCACCGTGGAGTCCTCCTCCTTCCGGAACACCTTCCCGATCTTTTTAAAGGTGCCCACGGGTTTTAGGGCTTCCACGAGGACGTCCAGGTCCACGTCTTTGCAGACATCGGGGACACTCCAGAGGATCAGGCAGTCCGGGGACGGGAGGAAGCCCCAGGGGAACCAGCCCCCCACGTGGCTTTTCTCTAGCGTTTTTAAGATCTCCAGGGTGATCTCTGGAATGGGGGGGCAAGGAGCCCCCCCACACTACTTGCAGTCCTTAGTCTTTGGGGAGCAAGGGAAGGGGGGATTCCACCGTTCCCCAGTCAGGGATGAGTCAAGTTCTCCCAATCTCTCTCTCTCTCCCTCTCTCTCCTGGGCCACAAAGTCCAGAGTTGACCCAAGTGGGGCTCCCCCTCTCCCCCTTTTAGATCCCCAGGATGCTTACGTGAGCCGGGGTGAGGTCAGGCCCAAGGCTCAGAGCTCAGTCCAAGCTGGAAACGTTGGTGTCCCAGCTCCACGGCTGGGTGGAGCCCAGCGCACGGCCTATGGGTGGCTTCTTTCTGCCCCACGCACCAGGGTTGGAACTTGGAGAGAGGACTTTGGAGAGGACAAAGACAGCTCAGCGTGGCTGTTCAATATGGCCGAGGAGCTAGGAGGCCTCCGCCCAGTCCTCTAGTAGGGTCTCCCGCACCCCCCTCCCAGGCAGGCTGCCACCCGACCCAGGCTGACCTTGACGCGACTCCCTCCTCCCCAGCCGCGCGCGATCGCGGGCAGGAAGTTCCTCGGCGCCCTCCCCGGCGGAGGCCCCCGCCCCCCCCCCCCCCCCCCCCCCCCGCTCCTCTTCTCATCTTACACCCCGGGACAGGGGAAGACTGACAGGGGGGCTGTCCACTCCCTTCCAGGCGGCCTCGCTCCCCTCCCCACCCTCCGGGGGGTGTGGCCGCGCCCCGGGCCTCGCTGGGGCCTGGGCTCCTTACCCAAGCCCACGTCAGCACCTTCCCAAAAGCCATCGGATCCCAAACCGGCGATCCGACATATGCGGGTTTCAGCCAAGCCTCGGATCTGGCTGTGCACATAGAAGCAAGTCCACCGCAACCTCCAGCACCTTCTCAAACTCAGGGGTTGGCAGTACCTGCAGTTCCCATGTGTGCGCAGACAGATGAGTACCAGGCTCTTACTGCACCAGTCCCCAGCGTGGTGGGTGACACACAAGTCCATGCTTAATAAATAGTTTTGAGTGAGGCAGGCGCCAGTGGCTCTCACCTGTAATCCTAGCTACTTGGGTAGGCTGAGATGGGGAGGATCAAGGTTCAAGGCCAGCCCCAGCAATTAGTTCCCCCCCATCTACAAAATAACCGAGGAAAATGGACTGGAGGCGTGGCTCAAGAGGTAGAGTGCCTGCTTTGCAAGTGTGAAGCCCTGAGTTCAAATCCCAGAACCACCAAAAAGGGAGTGAACGGATGAAGCTAAATATTCTGTCCATAGGGACTGACTTCGTTTATGGTCTATTCTTTTGGTGAAATACTATGCACCAATGAAAAAAGATTGTGTTGGCTAAGGGAAGGCAAGTGGAGTGCTTGCGAGTACTAGGCACCATTCTAAGTGCTTTCTATGAATTAACTCTTGAAATCCTCACTTAGCATCCATTACAGAGCTGGGGAAATGAAACAGGAGGAAATCAGATTGCTTGTTCAAGGTCCCATAGCCAGGAACTGGTTGAACCTGGATTTACATCCCGACAGTGAGGACTTTGCTGTGGAGATCAGAGTCTAGATGTGTACATCCGTTCATCACAGGTACAAAGACTGTCAACAGTGCCGTTCTGGGGAGGGGGATTTTGGATGACTTGGAGTTTTAGCAATCGAAAATGTTTGTTAAAATATATTAAAGAGAGCTGGCAGAGTGGCTAAGAGTGGTAAGAGTGCCTGCCTAGCAAGCATGAAGCCTTGAGTTCAAACCCTAGTACTGCCAAAGAGTATAAATAAAGCAGGGCATAGCCGCATCTCCGTAATCCTAGCACTCGGGAGGCTGAGGCAGGAACAGTGTGAGTTGGAGGCTGGCTTGGGCTACATAAAGAGACCCTGTCTCAAAAACAAAAACAAAAACAAATATGTTAAGTAAAACTTGAAGTCTTTTGGCCTCACCACAGACCTGGATCAGAATTTGCAGTGTCCCAGGTAATTTTCCTGCAGATCAACAGCCCAGTGACCATCACCTCCACACCAGGCACTGGGTAAAGCAGTGAATGTGCACTGAGACGGTCCTTGGAACCAGACAGTGTGACACTGCTTAATAGGCTGGATGTTATGAGCTCCTGGGGCTCAGGTGGGGCCACCACTGCTATCTTTTTACAAATGGGGAAACTGAGGCAAGTATGAAGTCACCAGGCTCTAAGTGGAGAGCCTGATGTTGGAACCAGATTATAGGCACTGGACTAAACACCAGACTGCACAAACACAGCGAATCCATTGCTCTTTTTTAAAAGCATGGGCTATGTACCAGTGTAGCTGGGCATGGTGGTGCCCACCTATAATCCCAACTACTCAGGAAGTGGAGGTAGGAGGATTGTGAGTTCTAGGCTAGCCAGGCAAAGTTAGCAAGACCCTATCTAGAAAAAAGAAAAAGAAAAAGAAAATAAAAAGAAACAAAACCAGACCAGGTATGTGACTTGAGTGGTACAGAGCTTGCCTAGCAAACTCAAAGCCTTGGATTCTGATACTGGGCTCTGGTATTTGGGATTTCCAGCGGGGGGGGACGGGGAGAACCACAGTGTGTGGGACAGCCCTCATCTTCTTCATGGATGCGCACAAACCCTTCCTCACACAGCGTTCCCTTCCTGCTGCAGTCCAGCCTCCACTCAGCAGCTGGGGGGATCTTTTAAAACTCAAAGCCGGCTAGGTGCTGTAGCTCACACCTGTAATCCTAGCTACTTGGAGGCAGAAAGATCCTGAGGATCTCAGTTCAAGGCTAGCCTGGGCTAGCCTTTCGAGATTCCACTTCAGTCAGTGACTGGGGTGGTACATGGCTGTCATCCCAGCTATTCTGGAAGTGTAGGAGGATCGCAGTCCAGTCTGATTTAAGGAATACAGCGAGACCCTATCTCCAAAATAACCAGAGCAAACCGGGCTGGGACGTGGCTCAAGTGGTAGACGCCTGCTCACCACTGAGTTCAAACCCCAGTACTGCCACGGGGGAACAAATGGAGCCCATATCTACCTTACCCATCCTCTATCTCAGAGCAAAATCACGGTGAGGTTAGGGAGTCTGGGACTGCTCCCCCTCTTGGCTCAAAGGTTCCTCCCCAGCGCTCAGGTGATGACATATTCGCTCCCCACTTCCCAGTTCAAGATGATCTAACAATGACCTACCAAAAGACTCCGGCGGCCCTTCTTCTTCTCTTCCCTCACCTGGCAGAACGGGCGACTCCCCTTCCCCAGTTAAGCTATTCTACCTCACCTATCCTCCTGTGGTGCTTGGATTCTTCCACTCAGAATGCAAGGACCAAGATTTTCTGGAAACACCATTTGCTGATAACAACAGCACTGAAAATCTCCCCCTTCCTTCTCTCCTACCATCTTCTTCTCCGCTTCTTCAGCATTCCAGGCTGGCTCCTACCCCAGGGCCTTTGCACTTGCAGTTTCCTCCTTTTACCCGCCCCCCACCTTCCATTAGCAGTCTGTGCTCAATCAGAAATCCTGCTCAAAAGATTCTTTCTTAGACCCTTTAGCAGCACCACCACTGCCACTCCCAACTGCTGTTCTCCAGAGTTCCATAGTCCCGGAGTGTAGAATTACAGCCACTGGTTTACAAGGAAACAGACATGCATCTGTGATAGCTTTTTAAAGGACACAAAAGCCAGGTGAACCAATGACATTAACACCAGTATGAATATGGGCACGTGTAATTTTATTTAGCCATGACGTATGATTCTATTTAACCCAGGAAGGAACCAGGCAAACATTTAGCGGAAGAGGGAAGGGATGAGGAAAAAGGGAAGAGAGAGAGGGGAAGAAGGTGTGTGGGCTGAGGGTGGGGAGGAGAAGGGTGGTTACAGTTTCCTCTGCACAATTCTTGGCTCCGTGGGTTGTTTTTGTTCTTGTAGGGCCGGGTCCTTAGGCTTCAGCGGATTTTCCTCCTCCTCCTTGGCCCCATTCCAGCCGCAGTGCTGAGCCGGGAGCCTCCAGACGCCGCCCCGCCTCTCCCTCTGCGGACCAGCCGTCTCCATGGCAACCAGGGATGCAGGGAGGCCACAGGGAGGATGGAGCGGGATGCTGGGGCCTCGGTGCAGCGGAGGGGGGCGGCTCCTCATCGCCCTTCCCAAACCTCATCCCCAAAGCCAGCTTGGCTGGAAAACTAAAGATCCCAGGGACACCCCGGATGGGAACGTTATAGTCTAAGTGGTGACCTCCCAAATGAGATGTTTGGATTTTGTAATTAGTATTTTTCTTTATTTTTGTGGTACTGGGGTTTGAATTCAGGGCTTACACCTTGAGCCACTCACTAGCCCTTTTTCGTGATGGGTGTTTTCAAGATAGATAGGGTCTCGGGAATTATTTGCCCAGGCTGGCTTTGAACCGCCATCTTCCTGATCTCTGCCTCCTGAGTAGCTAGGATTACAGGCATTGTAAGCCACATGTGCCCGGTTGTAATTACTATTTTTTTAATGGGGTCGGGGGTCAGGGATGTAGCTCAGTGGTAGAACCCGCACTTAGCAGGCTCGATGCCCTGGGTTCCACTTTCAAGCACTTGGGGGAAAAATTGAAGGGCAGTGTACAGAATTATCCCACAAGTGAAAATCTCAGTTCTTTAACATTCTTATAAAAAGCTAGCTCCTGCAGGGCACAGGAGTTAATCTGTAATCCTGATTACAGATGGGTGCCACCACAGCCAGCAGAGCCTACGTATATTTTTTTTAAGAACCTACACTTTTCATGCAAGGTGTACACTCTCTCTGTTGCAAGGAACTCCGTGGCATTCATCCATGTATGAATGAAGAAACTGAGGCCCAGAGAGGTGAAGTCATCTCCCTGTAGTCACACAGCTAGGTGGTGGTAGAGCCAAGATTCAAACGCCAAGCCTGGGCTTCCTCTCTGTTGTGTGCCCTGTAGGTGTGAGGGCACACCTGGTCACAGGCAATACCTTGTGTATCTACCACTTGCCTCTTGGGTGGCCGGCTCCAAAACAGCATTCTGTCAGCACATGGGAAACAGGCCCGTCTCTAGAGTGAGTTGGGCACATGCTCAACTTGTTCACACAATTGTCACAGGACCGGATCCCAGGGCCAGCACTTAACACTCCAAACAGAGTTACCTGGCGAGACGGGTCACTACTACCCCCATTATACAGAGAAGACACCTGGTGGGGCTAACAGGATGCCAGGCTCCTGCCCTGTGCTCAATCCAAACTCTTTTCTGCTCTTTGGAAACCCTAAAGGCTATAAAAAACAGAGGTCAGTACTAAGAAAAGGCATTCAGGGGCAGGTACAGTGGCAGGCCCTTGTCCTCCCAGCTGCTGGAGGGGCTGAGGTAGGAGGATCGCACGAGCCCAGGAGTTCCAGACCTGGGCAACATAAGAAGACACAGTCTTAGCTGGGTGCCATGGCTCCTGTCTATAATCCTAGCTACTCAGGAGATCAGAGGATTGTGGTTTCAAAGCTGAGCAACGGGTGGTGCACATCTGTCATCCCGCCTATGTAGGAATAAAAAATAATTAAAGTCAAAAAGGCTGGTGGTATGGCTTTAGCGGTAGAGGACCTGCCTGGCAAACTCTGAGTTTGAACCCGACTACCACCAAAAAAAAAAAAAAAAAGTCTCAAGGCAAACAAACACATCTAGAGGCAAAACCTTGGCAAAACAAGTTAGTTTTTTTTTTGGGTGGGTCTGGGGTTTGAACTCAGGACTTTGCTGATGCTGGTGCTCTACCACTTGAGCCACACCTCCAGTCCATTTTGTTCAAGTTATTTTGGAGATGGGGGGTCTCAAGAAATAGTTGTCCCAGGCTGGCCTCAAACTGCCATCTTCCTGATCTCATCCTCCCCAGTAGCTAGGATTACAGGCATCATCACTCAACTAGTTACAATCTTAACTTATCTCATTTTGTGTCAATATACTACAAAATTATTAATATATTACAAAAATATTATACGTGTCAGTATACTACAAAAATATTAATGCAATTATGAGGGTTACCAGGCACTCTCCTCCCAAAAGCAAATTCTATAATATTTCTAAAATTCAAGGTTCTGTGGGCTGGGGGTGCAGCTCACAGAGGGTTTGCCACTCATGTACAAAGCCCTGGGTTCCATCCCAACACTGCAAAATAAATAAAAATAAATACACAGGGCATGGCTCAAATGGTAGAGCACCTGCCTAGCAAGCATGAGGCCCTGAGTTCAAATCCCAGTACCACCAAGACAACTCCCAAAATATAAATACATAAAATAAGAATAAATGAATAAAATTCAAAGCTGTCTGAATTCTACACCACAACTGGCCGAAGGTTTCGCTAGGGACTGGGCTTCAGCAGTACTTTGCAGACAAAAGCAATGCGTTTGGAGAAAGTCGTTTTTTCTTCCTTAAATTCTGAAGCTGGCTGAGTGGAAGAAGGCCAGAAGCAGAGGGACATTCTGTCCTTTTTCTCTGTGTGCCTAGAGGCAGGACACCAATCCTCCCCCACCAGACACAACTTCCATCAGCTCTGATCCGGCACCAGCGGCATCTTCAAACAGAATTCCGCTTGCTGGCTGTTGGGTGACCCTCTTTGTCCTGTCATGGCCCTAGATGGATGGCTCTGAGGCTGGCAGCGTGGCTTGGAGGCAGAGCCTGGCCTAGCACGCAGGAAGGCCCAGGATTCCATTCCCAGCACCGCAAAGGAAAAACACAAAACCAAAAAAGTACAGATTGATCAGTGTCTTTTCTACAAAGCACGGAAGGGTCTTGCTTTGGTCACAGTTTTCAGACTTGATAAATGGAACAAAACTGTCATGCTTGTCTCTTGTTAATTAGCTTGCATTAATTGGGTCCCTAGAGCCAGACACATAAGAATTAGAGGGGAAAGGGCCATCTCTCTCTCTGTCTTCCCCATGCATGGGGTTGGGAAGATTTGGGGTGCTGAGGAAAACATGAAGGATTTTGCATAAGGCCTGAAACACAGGATCTCTGCGACTGTTCTTGTTGCAAATTGTCTCGCCTTTCATGGCAGTGACTGGAAAATGATGGAGATCCTGGGAAGCCCTCAGGATAGAAGAACGCTGTGTGTTTTCTGTCCTCTTAGCCTCTGAGCTCTAATAATACCTCTCTTGTGAGTGTGTGGGCACTGGAGTTTGAACTCAGGATCAGGATTTGAACTCAGGATCTGTGGTTGCTGGGCAAGTGCTCTACCACTTGATCCATGCCCCCAGACCTTTTTGCTTTAGTTATTTTTAAGATAGAGTCTTGAGGTTTTGACCAGGCTGGCCTGGACTGCAATCTTCCTACCTATGCCTTCCCATAGCAGGGATAGCAGACGTACACCACCATACCCAGCTTTGTGTTGTCGAGATGGGGTCTCTTTGCCTGTGCCCGGTTTCCATCTTCCAAGTAGCTGGAATTACAGCTGTGAGCCACCATGCCTGGCCTGATAATATCCTTTTAAAAATTATGTAGCCCTGAAAAGCTTCAGGCAACTGAAGGGGTGGTTTTCAAAATTTTTTTTACATGGGCTCCCTTACTTTTCAACATATTGAAGAACAGACTAAGGTTTAATTAGCATACATTTATTCATTCATATTTATACAAGAGAACATTAACCTCAAGGAACAATGAAGAGTTTTAGTTAAACCCACTTCCAGTACTGGGGGTGGGAGTTGAACCCAGGGACTCCAGCAAGCTAGGCAAGCACTGTACCACTTGGGCCACGTCCCCACAGCCCTTTTGTTTGTATTTTTGTTTTGAGACAGGGTCTCACTAATGTTGCCCAGGCTGGCCTCCAACTCCTGATCTTCCTGCCTCCACCTCCCAAATAGCTGGGATTACAGATGTGCACCACCACACACGGCTAGCACATCCAATTTGCTTGTGAATTTTTGCTTGAAATTTGCTGTACTCGTGATGCCTTAATTCAGGTGAGTAACTTCAAGTGCTAAAAATTTTACGGAAGGGCTTGCTTTGCAATCCCAAGAAATCTCAGGTGGCACAGAAGAGCATCAACAGGAAGTAGTGGATTTCAATTTCATGGGAAATATTTTCAAACCACTCACGATGCCCCCCACAAATATAAACAGTGTGAGGAATTCCCCAACCCCCAGTGTGCACAAGTCATCTTATGTCACACTCGGATGATAAGAAAGGTCACATTGTCCCTTATTATACAACAGTCATGCCTTGATGGTGCAGCAAACACGTGTACAGGAGGCGGCATGGTGTTCATTCAAGGTCAGACTGTGACTGTGACAGACACGGAACAAGGGTCACAGTGGCAGAATGTTCTGGCCTGGAGGGCCTGTAATTTACAAGGTCTAAGAAGATCAATACAGAGTTACAAACTTCTTTTTAAACTTTTTTTTTTTTTCTGTTGGGACTGGGGTTTGAACTCAGGGATTTGCACTTGCAAAGCAGGCGCTCTACTGCTGGAGCCACACCCCCAGTCCATTTTGCTCTGGTTATTTTGGAGATGGGGCCTCTTGAGCCCTTTGCCCAGGTTGGACTGGAACCTTGATCTTCCTGATCTCAGCTTCCCATGTAGCTAGGATTACAGGCGTGAGCCACTGGGTGCCCAGACTTGTTTGAGGTTTTTCTTAAGTTAGGACAACCAAGTGAATAATACAAATTCCTTCAGTTTCTTGACACTTGCTGGGAACGTCAAGGTCAGAAACCAGAAACAAGAGTGGCTGACTGTGTGATGTGGGTCCTTGCTGGTGTCCTTTTGGCTCTGAGGGGGAGGGGAGGTCAACAGAGGAGCTTTGCACATATCAGAATGGGGATTAAATGCTGGAAATCACAGACATGGCTGATGCCACCACGGTTAGGACACGGAGGGTCTCCAGTGACAAGTTAGTGAGTAAGAATCTGAATGTGTGAGAGTGTGGATTGAACCTGGCCCTTAAGATGTGCTCCACCCGGTGAGTCACGCCCCCAGCCCTTTCCTTTGTACATTTTTTTTTTTTTTGCAGTACTGGAGTTTTAACTGGGGGTCTTCACCTTGACCCATTCCACCAGCCCTTTTTTGTGAAGGGTTTTTTCAAGATAGGGTCTCTTGAACTATTTTCCTGGGCTGGCTTTGAACTGTGATCCTCCTGATCTCTGCCTCCTGAGTGGCTAGGATTATAGGCCG